ATAGTATTCCCCTTCTCTTGCTGAGCAATGTAAAGGGAGTACTAGGGAGTAGTGAAGGAAATGCCAGGGGTACGCCAAGAGAATACTAGAGTTATACTAAGGCAATACTCAAGGTACTCCCCTGCTTGTCCCCTTCTAGGGGAAGAATGAGGAAATACTAGGGGTATACCAAGAGCATACTAGAGGGCAGGCAATACTATGGAGATACTCAGGGAATTGGGGCAAGACTAAGGGAGAGTACTGGGGAAATACCCAGGTAATGCCGGGGATATTCTTTAGCTCAATTTGCTTGACTTCTCAAGTTGCCTGGCTAGGGCAATCCTACGGAAATACTGAAGAAATGCTAGCATGCTGAGAATAAGGGGAGTGCTGAGGGAATACTAGGGGTATACCAAGATAATATCTGAGGACTAGCAGACTAAGTGTATTTCCTTAGTATTCCCCTTCTCTTACTGAGAAGTTTAAAGGGAATACTCGGGGGGGGTAAGGGAATACAAGAAGTAAATACTGGGAGAATACTAGGGAATATTCAGGGAATACTAGGAGTATACCAAGATAATACTTAAGGCTTACCAGACGAAGAGTACTCCCTTAGTATTCCCATTCTCTTTCTGAGCACCTTATGCGTGCCCCAAAAAAATGCTCATTTCCCCTTATGAAAAAACAATCGGGCAGTGTCAGATGCAGATGCCAGATGCAGATGCTAGATTGAATGACAGACACAGATGCCAATGCAAACACAAAAGGAACAAACACAAACACATGAAGAGCTCAGCGAGGTCAATGTCCCCAAAAAAAACCTGTTGTGCCAATCAAAAAACAGCCTTTTTTGCGTAAAGACCCAACGCTGGAGACATTGGCCTCTCTTTTTCTTCTGTTTCTCTTTCTCTTTATCTTTCCGCCTTCCTCTCTAGGCCCCTCTCGCTCTCTGTCTCTCTCTCTCTCTCTCTTTCTCTCTCTTCTCTCCTCTCTCTCTCTCCTTTCTCCTCTCTCTCTCCTCTCGGTCTCCTCTCTCTCTCTCCTCTCTCTCTCCGCTCTGTCTCTCTCTCGTTTTCTATTTCCGCGTTGCAATTGCTACAAGTGCAAGTGCGGTAATGGTGTCACTAACAGTCAAACCTGTAGTGTCTACACCGCACGTTTTCCTGGCGGGCTACACTGAGCAACTCAAGGCCTGCAGTAGTATACACACAACACAAATGCAAGTAGTGAAGCATGTAGTTTGACACGGCCCCTCAGTGAAAAGATCTATCCGTAGTATCTTTCAACAAGAGTGAAAAATGAAATTGACTGTAGTGATGAAAACCGATGTTGTTCATCTATGCTACTGTACTGAAAAGAGAAGCTGTGCTTTCGTGGTGGTGCAAAATGTAGAGGTGTAGTAGTTGTTGCGCGTTGATCAGCAAATGGTAGTCCCAAACGTAGCCGTTGGACAGGGAGTGGTGTAGTCTGAACTCGTTGAAGTTGTTGTGGATGAGGTGTGCTCCTTGGTAGTGGTTGAGTCAAAGGGTGTAGTTGCTCATGATGGATGTAGAGTGGTTGATGTAGTCCCTGATGAAGTACTCAAGGGAGTAATTGTCTCTGAGTAACAAGCACGTAGTCGTTGATGTGGTTTGTAGTGGTGTGAATTTCTGAGAGGCTGTAGTAGTGCCAGAGATGTGCATCTGCCGTAGTATGCATCCTCTGCAGTCGGTTGTACGTTGGCTCATGTAGTGTTTGACTGGAAAGCGAATGAAGTGGTAGGAAAGGTGTAGCTGCATCATCCCCTCCTGCAGCTGGAGAGAGAGAGAAAACGGTAGTCTTCAAGTGGCAGAGGGGTGTAGAATTTGGTGTACTGGGGTGTAGCTGGTTGAGCTGGCAGTGCTCGTAGTACCGTAGTTTGAGTGCTGTGCAAGTTGAAGTCGCCCGAATTGTAGATGTCCTGTAGGTTGGAGTTGAGTGGCAGCGGAGTTGATGTGGTCTATAGTTGTTGGTCAAGACGCACCTGTAGTTATGCAAAGTTCTGCGCCGGCAGCGGGGTCGGTGGAGTTGCCTCCAGGGTAGTCGACTTTGCCACCTGATTTTCCGGAATTGTAGTCACAAAGCGATCCATGGCTGTTCCTGCTCCCGTAGTCGTGGCTCCTCCTGTCACTGCTGTTGTTGGCCCGTTGTCTGTTCCTGTAGCTTGCTGCGCTGATGCTGATGCCAGATCCTGACATGTCGTAGTAGTTTGGCATGTAGTTGCCGTTGCCGTTGTTGTACTTACTGCTGTGTACTGGAGCTCCCCTATGTGTAGGATCTCCGCTTTGCTACCACGTTAAAATCGGAGTTGCAATTACAACAAGCGCAAGCGCTGTGATGTTGTCACTAACAATCAAACCTGTAGTGTCTGCAACGCACGTTTTCCAGGTGGGCTCTGTAGTCATGAAACATCAGCTCAAGGCCTGCAATAGTATACATACAATACAACTGCAACTAGCATGTAGTTTGTCTCTCTCTCTCTCTGTCTTCGTTTGCGTTGTAGCGTCATGCCCCCACCCCCGAGTTGCTTCGATTTCCATGCGCTGCCCTTCCCCGACCCCTGCATTGTCTTCTTACTACTGGCTGTCCTGTGTTTGCTTCGTTTTCCATGTATGTCCCTCTCATTGCCAGTCATTTCCGTGTTGTTTAACCTCTTTTTGCGAAAACGTAAAAAAAAAATCCGTGTTTCTTTCGGGAAAATACCAGGGAGTGAAGGGGAATGCAAGGAAGTGCAGGGAAATGAAGGGGAGGAAATAAAGGAAAATGCAAGGACATGCAGAGGACAGGAAGTGGAAACGACAGGAAAGCAAGGGGAAATGAACGGAAATGAAGGGAAATGAAGTGGAAAGGACTGAGAACAAGGGGAGTGAAAGGGGAATGAAAGGGAAACGAAGGACGAGGACGAGGAAACCAAAGGACACGAAGGGTTCTTCCATATTTTTGTTAGTGGAACGTAATTTCTCCTATTCAGGCTCTTGACTAGAATGATAAAAAATGGAATGATTGTGTTTTCGTTGTTATCTGTCACTCTCCGCTTGATTGAATTTGATTTGTTTCGCTGCATTTGTGAGCCTCTGGTAGTACAGGTTGTTTCTGCTGCTGCTGGTGTTGCTTTTGTTGCGGCAGTGGCTGCGGTTGTGGCTGTGTGTGGCTGGTGTTGGTTTGGTTGGTGTGGCTGAGGTTGTTGGAGTTGTTTGGTGTTGGTGTCGGTCCAGTGTTTTGTGTTGGAGAGGTCGTTCGTTCTGGTGTTTTCGCAAATGGCCAGGTGGCAGGGTGGACTTGAAGAACTGCAGGGCCCTGCAAAAAGGCCAGGGGTGGGCAAATTCCAAGCAGCGCGTTTGAGCCCCTGAAGTTTTTCCGTTTTTTTCCCACCGCAACGCCTACTCGCCTGGTGTAAGATAGCTGTTTGTTCGGGGAGCCTCAGCCTTGGGACCCCAGCTTGCATGCGTTGGTTAGCTTTCATCATCGGGGGGAACCATTGATATGCAACAGAGGTGCTTTCCGATGGCCTATGGTTTTCTATGCACTTTTCTTCATGCTGCAAAAGCTGTATGTAAACTTCCTACCCAAGCTGCTGTGAGCCTTTCGCGCTGTAGAGGGGAGGTGTTGAGCAAGGCGCTAGATCACTGTGTTAAGACGTCCCAATCCAATTGCGAAGACAACGAATTTGAGAGTCTCTGCAGCCATGGATCAAGGCTTTTTCAAGTGACCATAGTGACCGCAAGTTGTCAACTCAACTTAGAGGTGCTGGTCAAAGGCAGCTCGCTGCCGATGACCTTCATTCTGCTCTTTGGGTCTTTTGGCAGGCTCGCTTGGTCATTGAATGAGGCATTTCTGCCTCAGGCGGAGGCGTCTACATCCGTGGCAACCTTACCCAACTGGGCGGCGCGGTGCATTTTGAGCGGTGCTATTTGGAACAAGGCTGGACCATGAGCGCCCAAATTTTGTTCCGGAACTCCCGCTGCAAGATGTTCCTACAGGCCTGGAAAGCACACCCGCGAAAGGACATCCAGAATGGGCAGTTAGACATGCTGAAGTTAACAGTGCAGCAACAGCGGATTCTTTCCGATGGACTGGTCCATTGCCGTGACAAACATGCATGGAATGGAAACCAAGGAGGGTGCTCAATCACTCCAGCAAATTGATCTGACAGCCTAGGAGGCTCCGATCACACGTACCGTCACGATGACATACTTGCACTGTGTTGATCAACTGTCAAAATTGGGACTCGGCGGAAGCAATGTGCAGGGCTTGCGGAAGCTTCTCGCGGAGCAAGTTTGTTGCCGCGGAAGGGCTTTGATTTCTTCTGCGTGCGTGTTGCAACTGCCATGTTGTCTTTATTTGTCTTTAGCACTGCATATAGCAAGGATCGCTTGGTGATTGGCTGCTGCTTCTCATATGCGTGCTTGCATAGTGTTATTCATGTATTGTCACGTGGAAGCCGTGAAAGTATGGCATGTGAGCGGAAGCAAACACCTGTGCCGCAGCAGCCGGCAGAAGCCGCGCGGCTTCAAGCCCCATATTTTCTCAATTTGTCCTTAGATTCTTGGTCTCCGCTCAAGTGGTTTTAGCAGGACGTGTTTTTGCCAACCGGAGGCGAAACAAGAGCAACCAGTGTGAGTGGATTGTTTTGCGCAGCCCCGCTGAGTTTGCATTCAGGGCTGAGGAGAAGCTCTCCGACACAACAAACGACTGGAATTAGACAACCAGACCCTCAAGCCTCTTCACTACTCTGTAAGCACAAATCGGTTGACCTGTGTGCGCCAACCCTCGGCGGGAGTAACAGAAGGTTTATCTTGAATGGTAGCTGCTCTAACTACATTCTCAGCGGAACCTGATAGAGGCCGCGAACCCGAATCAATACATATACAAACCCAAAAGCATGCCCAAAGATACCCCCACAATATAGCTCAAAAACCACATAGAACCCTTGACAGCGATCAACGCACAAGCATTCCTCGACACATCCCCAAAAGCATCACCAAAATTATGCCCACAAGCATCTCCGAATACAAATCCATGGGTTTCGCCAGAGTCCTAAAACACGTACTGACGACACCTAGGCGCTCTCATCCGACACATGCCCAGAGACATGCCCCAAAAAACATCCCAAAAGACAAGCCTCCGACGGCGCCGCCCAGAAAACTGAGAGAGAACACCGCGAAGTGCAAATCGCGGCGGCGCGGCATGGCAACCGTACCCTCCATAAACATTGCGCCTGCGCAACGAAACAACGTGTCTCGTCTCCAAAGCTCTGAATCAACCACAGGGGCGTTAATACCCTTCACAGAGGCTGTATGTTGCGGATGCAAAAACGAACCTCAAACGCACGAGTGTGGGTCGACTCATGCACCCAGACCCCCCCTCCTTTAAAAAAGGGAACCCTTCTGCTGCGCATTTGGGTGAAACAGGGTTTTGCCAGCAGGGGCACGCTGGCACCCGGGAATTAGCTTTTAATCAGCGAGCGAGCGAGCGAGCGCCTTCAAAAGAGAGCCATTGGAGATGGTTCTGTCCTTATATAGTTTGTGCATGTTGATTCTGAAAGCTTCTTGTGGCATCGTGTGTTTGCGGTTTTTGCGCTTCGGATAGCCAATTGCTTCCCAACTAAGTAGTTGCTTTGCTTTTCGGCTTTAGGAAGCCATGTAAGTGCGTTCTAAGCACCTAAATCACTTGCAAGTTTTCCCGGAAGTCACTGGCAATTACGGTTGAAGGAGTTGCCAGCGGGCCCACATTTCACTTCTAAGTCACGCGGCCACCCAGCAGGTGACGTCAAATTTGGCCAGGGCGGCGGCGCCTATGTCGATCAACACATCGTCACGCACGGCGGTTCGCTGAGTTTGGAGCACTGCTCGGCTCTCGGCAAAGGAGGAAGTTTGCGCCTGGGCAAAAAAGCAGCCAGATTTGCGCATTGAGGTCTAGTTGTGTCAATTCAAATGGTTGTTCTTTGCTCATTGTTTGTTGTGGTAGGCGTGCCCAAAGAGTCATTGCACATGCTTGTCAACCAGGCAATGGGACTTTGTGGAGTCTTGGGCGCTTGCCTGCCCCCCTCCAGCGCAGTGCTGTGTGTCAGGAGACAAACTGCGGGTAAGCGTTAAAAGGGCGACGAACTGACGGAAGTCAGCAGCCGGGGTCAAGCCCGGATCGAGATGGGCGCTCGGACAGAAAGCCCACCTGGTCACACTTGTGTCCCAGCCAAGCTGGTCTGCAGAGGTTTTCTTCAAGGGCTGATGCCATCAAGCAGGCAATCTTCGGTGGGCCAATCCGACGATCAAATTAATTTTGACTTTCGTCCCCCTGGACTGCAGGAGGGACTCATCAGTGGGGTGGCATATGCAAAATCCTTGGAAACAGGAAGGGACACACAAACACACACACACACACACACATTTGCATCACCATGCAGCATCATCGGAGCAACTCCTGCTCCAGCAGGATCAATGCCATTTGTCCAGCCTTTCACACCCAACCGCGCGACCCAAAGTTCCACTTTCACCTGTGTCCCAGGATTCCGGAGCAATAACGTTGCAGGCCAATGTAAAATAAAGAATTAGCCATGATTTTAGCACTTCCCTTTGAAGGCGCCAGGCTCGGTCAACCAAATCTCAACTACATCGCAACCAGCCCCTTGCTTTCGCGCGCTTGCGCGGCTTGTTTCCTATTTCAGGAACGTCCTGCGCCGGTGCCCCGATTTGCTTGCTCGTGCGTTCCAGGTATGCCGGCCGGTCACTGCAAATCATCGGCGGGGTGTTGCGCATCTTTAACTCCACGTCCTACATCCGGGGCGGTGGCATTGAAGCAGGCAGGGCCAGCGGACTGGGATCAGGGCTGTGGGTCTACGTCGGCCACTGCCTCTCTGTGGTTTCCCGTTGCACTGACTCTGACACAGTTGTAGATTGGCTGCTAGTTTTGCCGGCGCTCCCCGGCGCTCTCCTCGAGCTGGCATTTGTGCGCCAATCATTTTGAGTTGGTGTCTTTTCAGGGCTTAGTGTTGCTTGACGAGCGCCTTCTGGGCATGGCAAACACCTCTGCTCTCATAGGTACCAGCGCAGAGCAAAGGTTTGCCTTTGCCCTCAATTCCAAAAGTTTGCGGGAGAGTCCCAAAGAGTATCTAAACAAACCCCTGCGTTCCCCGCACGTAAGACGGGGTTGATAAATTTTCTGAAACCCGCCTGCAAGCCGGCAGCTTCAGGAAAGATGCAGATGACAGATGCACGCAGCGCACACCCACCCCAGCACATGCTCCAAAGCAAGCGCTCGTGATACATTTACACAAAGGCACAAGGACTCAAAAACAAGACCCAAGCCATTCTGATTCTACACAAGCACGCAAAGCAGAGAGGTAACGCTGGACTTAAAGTCATGCTGAAAGGAAGTGGGGAGGACACTTTTCTGCGGAAGACGATTTTCCTGTGGCGATTGCTTCCTTGGCCTGTCAGAAAACGGGCCCCTGATGAGGCAGAGAACCAGTCGATACAGCATCAAGTCCCGAAAGCTGAAACGACGACTTTCGGTTTTGCCCAAACCTGTTTGGTTTTCCCCGAGAGCGCCGCGTGTTCAAAATTCGAGATAACTTATGGCGTCAAGCCAAATGACAAACTCAGGCTGCAAACTTTACCCAAATGAAGACCAAGCGCAAACTTGGGAATCCCAAGAGGAAACCAGGTGTGGGTTGGGATCAGGAATCAAATGCAGAAATGGGGGTTGGAAAACAGAAAGCAGCCATACTGTCAGTAGGCAAGACGCGCTGCGACTCGTTTCTGAATCTGGGCGTCTCAGCCGGCGAGGCGCCCCAAGTTTGGCCGTCATGACTGGCCCACAAGTTCGGAACCGATGCCTTATCCCGAGGCGACTGGTTCTCTCCTACTTTTGGTTTCTCACGGGACCTCTTTTTAAGGGGCCGCAAAGGAAACGGAAAATTGACCAAACAAACGCGGAAAATGGCGAAAGCTGGCCACAAAAGCAACTGAGAGAAGTGGAAAAGCTTGGTCGAATGCTCGAAAAGGTGCGGCAGCAAGAATTTGCAACGCTGCTCGAGCGGCAGCGAGACAAGTGCAATGCGACCCCAGCGCCAAACCAAGCTGCCAAAGGGCAATTTGCAACGCAAGGCCAAGTAGGCCAAACCTGGTCGCTATCCACAGCGCAAAAGTCAGGTCGAAGCTGCGGGAAAGCAGCTTGGCGCACAACCGGTCGCATTGAAAGCCGGGGCCTAATTGATGCCCAAACAGGTTTCACGCACCACCCGCAGCACAAAAACTTGAGAAGTAAGGCCAAAGCTTCGACGTTTAAACCAGCCAAGACACCATTGCAGCGCGGAAAGCGGCCTGTCCAGGACTGAACATGGTGACTTCGATGGAAAACTTGCTATCACCGTTCATCGACAATCTCTGTGGGAGAGAGCAATCTCGGCAACAGCCGGCAAACGTCACAACAGAAAAGACGGAAGAAAACTCTAAAGAACTGACTGGCACTGTGCGGCATTTTGTGGAATTGAAGCGCTGGATGATGAGCCCCCGCCACTCCGGTTGTTTGCGCAGATTCGTGAGAGGCAAGGAGATGCGCTTGCAATGTGCCCGAAGGACAAAATGAAGGTCGGGTTTAAGAGGGGATCTTCCTTACCTAGGTTGAAAGTTCAAAAGGAAAACAACTTTTTTTGGGGCTCTTTGTGGGGGGACCCAAAAGGGGACCCTCGAACCTTTGTCCGCGTTCACCTGTAGAGCAATGGTTCAGCCCAATGCTGAAACAGCGCTCTCTCAAGTTGAGGCGACGTCGGGGTCCACGGGGGCAAGCTCCTCATTGACAGTTGCAAATCTAACAAAGGAGGCGCGCTCTTCGTGTCGGGCCGCTTGGTGGCAGATAGCACCCTCCAGCTGCGATTCCGGCTGCGATTTGTGTGTGTGTGTGCATATGCGTTTTTGAGGGTGCATAGAGTATCCTGTTCAGGGCGTTAAGAAAAACAAACCTGACAGAAGCCACGAACCCGAATGCGGACACGAAAGCGGACCTCTTGTCACATCTCGCATCGCGTCTCTAGTCACTTTTCTATAGTCACGTCTCTGGTCACTTCGGGTCACGTCATTGTCACGTCTCTCGTAGCAACTCTGGCCACGTCTCTCGTCATGACTTTCGTCAAGCCTTTCATCATGTTTCTCGCTGCGCCTCTCGTCACGACTCTGTCACGTCTCCCATCACGTCTTTCTTGGCGACTCCCGTCATGTCTCTTGTCATGCGAGTCGTCATCCCTCAAGTCGCGTCTCTGGTCTTTTATCACTCGCGCCTGTCGTCATGACTCCGTCACGTTTCCCGCCGCGTCTTTCTTGGCGACTCTCGTCATTTGTCTTGTCACGCGTGAGTCGTCGGAGTATCTGGCTATTCCTCGTTTTTGTGTATAGTCTCGTCTCTGGTGACGTCTCTGGTCATGCCCCTTGTCAGGTTTCTCGTAACAGCGTCTCTTGTCACGTCTCTCCATTTTTCCTTGTCCTTGTCGCGTCTCACGCAACAACGTTTCTTGTCGCATCTATCGCCACGTAGCTAGACGTCTCTCTTAATAACAACTCTGGCCACATCTCTCGTCATGACTTTCGTCACATCTTTCATCATCGCATTCATCATGTGTCTCAACACGCCTCTCGTCGCGACTACGTAGCATCTCCCATCATGTCTTTCTTGGGGACGTCGTCACGTGCATCTTCGCCCCTCGCGTCACGTCTCTGGTCACGTCTCTTGTCACGACCCTCGCCACGTCTCTTCTCAAACGTCTCTTGTCAGATTTGTCGTCCCGTCTCTGGAACCTCTCGCGTCACGATCCTCGTCACGTCTCTTGTCACGCCATATCTCGCGTCTCGTCGCGACTCTCCTCGCACGTCTCTTGTCACATCCATCACATCCATCGTCATGCCTCTGGTCACGTCTTTGGTCACGTCCATTGTCACGTCTGTCATCGTAACAACTCTGGCCACGTTTCTTGTCATGACTTTCATCTTATCTTTTATCACGTGTCTCAACACGCCTCTCGTCGAGACTACGTAGCACTTTGCGGATTACATATCTCTTATAAATCACTACAAGAGTTAGCAGCGGGTTCCTAAGGGATACAAAATGTGGTTTAGGAGGTGGTTTAAACAAGGGTTTAGCTAAAGTTTAGCTAAACCAGCTAAGCCTTTTAAGGTTTTTCCTTCAAAATCCAGCACCTGTGTGCAGTTGGTGCAACAAAGCGTTTTCCTACCGCAAGCGAGACATCAAGCAAGGCCAAAGCGGGCAGTCCGCGCGGCCCCAGAGACGCAGCTCATCTTTTTCTCCTTTCTCTTTAGCGGTTCCACAGCTCGGATCAGAGCTCCCATTTGTTTTGACATTGTTTGTTAGATTCATGTCAGATTTGATACCAGATTCAGTTTTTTATTTTTTTTCAGAATCTGAATTTTGCAGATTTTTTCAGATTCGGATTTTTCAAATTTTGTCAGAATCTGAAAAAAACAGAAAAATCGGAATCAGACTATTTAAGTAAAGAAAGTGATGAAGTCAGATTTTCAGAGTCTGAACAATCTGAAAAACTGAATCTGAAAAATCTGAAAAATTCAGATTCTGAGAACATCTGAAAAAATCTGAAGCTGAAACAATCTGCAAAATTCAGATTTTGAAAAAAACTGAAAACTCTGAATCTGATATCAAATCTGAGCACTTGCGTCCGCATCATGCCGAGAAAAACCGAAAGGCAAATGATTCGGCTTCCCTTTTGCATGCTGCATGGCTGTGCTCGAAAAAAGCTAACTCTGCTAAGGGTGTTTGCCCCGAAAACAGATCCCAAAAGCTAACCCCGCTAAACCTGATAAGGGTCGCGACCATGTTTGCTGAGTGTTTGGCTTGGGGTTTACGGGAGTTATAAAGCGTGTCATATCTCCTATAATTATTAGATAGATTCTGGTAAACCTTAGGCACGACTTATAAACCTTACATAGGTTTGACTAACTTATCTCGTTTGCCAAGGAGCTTGGCAGCCTTATAACCCAACTTAGCCGAGATACTAAACGTTTATAACCTGGTTAGCGTCTCCCGTCACGTCGTTCTTGGAGATCCTGTCGCGCACGTCGTCACCCCTCGCGTCACGTCTCTTGTCACGGCCCTCACCACGTCTCTTCTCAAACGTCTCTTGTCCCGTCTCTGGTAACCTCTCTCATCACGATCCTCGTCACGTCTCTTGTCGCATCTCTCGTCACGTCTCTGGTCACGGCATATCTCGTGTCTCGTCGTGACTCTCCTCGTACGTCTCTTGTCGCATCCCTCACATCCAGCGTCATGCCTCTGGTCACGCCTTTGTTCACGTCCTCTGTCACGTCTGTCGTAGCAACTCTGGCCGCGTCTCTCGTCATGACTTTCATCTTATCTTTCATCACGTGTCTCGGCGCGCCTCTCGTCACGACTACGTCCATCTCCCGTCGCGTCTTTCTTGGAGATGCTGTCGCGCGCGTCGTCACCCCTCGCGTCACGTCTCTGGTCACGTCTCTTGTCACGACCCTCGCCACGTCTCTTCTCAAACGTCTCTTCTCGTATTTGCCATTCCGCGTCACGATCCTCGTCGCGTCTCTTGTTGCATCTCTCGTCACGTCTCTGGTCACGGCTTATCTCGCGTCTCGTCGCGACGCTCCTCGCGCGTCTCTTCTCACATCCCTCAGATCCATCGGCGCACCTCGGGTCACGTCTGTTGTCACGTCTTTGGTCACGGTCTTTGTGACGTCTGTCGTAACGACTCTGCTCCCCTCTCTTGTCATCACTTCCAACACATCTCACATCATGTGTCTCGACCCGCCTCGCGTCACAACTCCGTCACATCTCCCGTCCTGCCTTTCGTGGTCTGTCTCATGTCTCTAGCCACGACCCTACTCGCGTTTCGTGTCACACGTGAGGTCACGACTTTGCGATCTCAAAATGTGCTCCGCGCCCAGCGAAAGCGATTCAGCCCACCCAAAGCACGCAGAGGGTTCACTGTGCGATCTCAACATGTGCACCGCGCCACAGCGAGATCGATTCGACCCGCCCCAAAGTGCGCAGAGGGTTCGCTTTGCGATCTCAAAATGCGCACCGCGCCACGGCGAGAGCGACCCGACCCGCCCAAAGTGCGCAGAGGGTTCACTTTGCAATCTCAAAATGTGAGCCGCGCCACAGCGAGAGCGATTCGACCCACCCAAAACGCGCAGAGGGTTCACTTTGCGTGCGAAAAGGCGCGCCGCGCCACAGCCAGGCCAGAGCGATTCGACCCACCCAAAGCGCGCAGAGGGTTCATTTTGCGTGCTGAAAATGCGGACCGCGCCACAGCGAGAGCGACTCGACCTACGAAAGTGCTGCGCCTGCCACGAAATCTGCACGCAAGCTGGAAAGTGCTGCGCCTGCCACGAAATCTGCACGAAAAGCTCTAAAGCGCTGCGCCTGCCACGAAATCTGCACAAAAAGCTCTAGAGTGCTGCGCCTGTCACAAAAAATCGCGCTACAGCAACATGCGAAAGGCTCAAAATGCTGCGCCTGCTACGAAATCAGAATTTGACACTCTCGCATCGTGCGGAAAACTAGCGCGGGACCGTGACATGCTTCAAGCCCGCTAACACGAGCCGATTGTATGACAGGGCCAACGAAAACAGCGCCGGCGCAAACACTATCGCGCGCCTGCCAAGCAGGACACCTCAAAGCGACCACCCCTGGATCGCAAATCCCACTGGCACGGCAACGAGAACACGCAGCCTTCAAAACACTGCGCCTGCGCAGCGAAACAGCACGCCAAGCTTGAGAAGCTACGATTCCCGCACAACACGCTTCAAGTCATCTAAATTGCACGTTCTCGCTTTTCCCACGGGCTGCGAGCGCGACACTCGCGAACACATACGAACGCTTGGGGACGTAAATTTAACGACTCCTGGTCACGTCCCAACCCCCAAACCCCCAACCTCCAAACGGGAACCCTTCTGCTACGCATTCGGGAAAAACAAGAAGGAACATCAAAAGTTTGGGGGTAACTCACTTGACGGATCCCTAAATGGAAGGTCTTCATCCGTGTAACTGAGTGAACAGTCAACCATCAAGAACCCCGCGGTCAGGCGCGTTGCTTAGAACTGGGCTAACACCCGACATTGATCTTCCGACGCTACCCGCGCGAGGCCGCGTTGGCTACCAGCAAAGTGGTGGCCACGCCATCTTCAGGAGCAGCGGCGGGGCATTGGGACCCGTCCATTTTGAGGGGAACAGTTGGCCATGAGGTCCCATTTGGCACCCCTACGTTTTGGCAATCCCGTGGCCTGGACCATCCATGACAATGATTGGCGCAGTTTCCTTTGGTGTGGCATGGTATTTGCACCTTGAATATGGAACCGAGGAAAGCTCTCAGAGCCGGGGGGTGCTTGTGTTTGACGCTTGCGCCCTGCAACCCCCCCAGTCAAGCAATCAAGGGAGCAATCAAGGGAGCCCAATTGTGCCCCACATTGGCGCGAGTGTTCTAAGCGCCTAGGCTTTGTCGAGGGGGGTTCCTCTCCAGCAAAGGCACTGACATGCGCAGATTGCGGCCCCACATCAGGAATTGCAGCATGACAAAGATCGCGACCCACAACCAGCACGCGTGGCTCTGAAGAACTTTAGACGTTTGGGTCCGTACTTGTGGATTTGGACTCTGCTGGGGGCATCCTGAAGACACGCACAAGGCGCACGTCTTTTCCGGTGCCCGTTTGCGGAAGCCAGGGCGACCTGAGGTACTTTGGACAACCAGCATCACACAAAAAGAACGATTCACCATCATGACGCACGTGGGTCGGAGGGGGGGGGGTCCAGTAGCATGGTAACGCTTTGAGACGCCCTGAATTTCAACTTCAGATTCATCCGGACCAGAGGGCCGAAATTCGGAATCCCCCACATTTTGGACCTCTGGTTGCTTGTTCTTTGCTTTGCTTTTCGAGCCGAGGATTCAGATCCGAGTTCCGCTCGGAGGAGTTGCCGCTCAGCCTGTTTTGTGTTCCTTTGTCTGGTTCCCAGTCGAAACCCGCTAACACGAGCAAGGTTTCCTTTGTGTTTTTTCGGCGGGGGATGTGCAAGTGAGGCAGCTCCGGCGGTTCAGGCGCACAGCCCAACCATGGGGGGCGCCATTTATTTGCAGAGGAACGATGCCCTCCTCACTGGCGGCCGCATGGAATGCGTCCAGAACACGGCAGAGAGAGGTGGCTGCCTGTACTTGCTCAAGGGCGATGTGCCCGCAGCAGCAATCAGTCTTGCTGGCATATCCCCACTTGGGGGAGGGGGATACCCCTGGAATGAGCCACGGACAAAATATACGTAGTATAGTAGCTTGAGTAAAAGGCACGCAATTTTTCCTAAAAGGAATGTTCAACTGGGCTGTGTTGTGCCCCCAACGCTTGCAGCTTAGGGTGGAACTCTTACCTGGCCACTGTAAATCGCATAGCGATAAACAGCTGCACCATCCGCGGTGAAGGGCTCTGGGTTGGGCCACCGGTCACACGAGAGTCAACAGCTTTGCCCCTGAGCAATTCGAAGACCTAGCCGCGTTGCACACTGGCACGAGCGACTAAAAGGGCTAGGGTGGCTGTATAGTGCTGGTTTCAGCTGTAACGGGTCAAAAAGCCCAGGCTGGGAGGTTTAGGGTGAGTTAGGACGCATTGTGTGTTCCTTGGCCACGAGGTGAACCTGGAAGGAGGCTCGCACACTTTCGAGAGCTGCAAGGCCACCCTACGGGGTGGGGCCATCGCAGTCAAAACTGGACGCTTGGCGCGGGGTCGCGGGGTCTGGTACCACCTGCCCGAGTCGCTTTTGCATTGGCGTGGCCGCGCATCGAGTTTTGCCGTTGGAGTTTTCCTGAGTACGTGTGTGCGCCCCCAAATGGCTTAGATCCCCGTATCAATGGGGAACTCTCAACAATGGCTGGTGGACACAGATCTGTAAATGGTGCATACCAAATTTGCGAAACGACTGGTTTTGCAAAAGACCCTACCAACCGCCAAAAAACGGCTGGGTTTGCCGGTCTTTTTGCTTGTCCCTTTTTGGGGTTGCTTTAAAGGAGGACAAAGGGAAGCCAAAACAGAAACACTGATTCTAGGGGGAATTGTTTCCGGCGCAAAAAGGCCACCGCTTTTCCCAGCTGAGGAAACGTTTGGCAAAGAGGCGCAGACGTGTCCTTCAATAAGTGCGAAGCCACCAGGCGCGCTGACGGGTCGCGATCTGTGTCACTGGCATAGGGAGGAAAGCACAAGTTGCAACCATCCAGAAATATCTTACAGAACCCCCAGACACCCCACAGTCAGTCAGCATCATTTGCTGGCTTGTAAGAAAAGTACAGTGTCGTAAAGCTGCCAACCAACTTACCAAGGATCTTCCCGTGCCTTTCAAAGAAGCTGAGCAGGCTTTGCAGCAGCAGCTGCAGCCGTGTGTGCGTGCGCGAAGGGCTGTTGCTTCAGCAAATCATGACAGGTCGCAGCCAAGGCTACTACTCATTGCCTGGTTTGGCCAAGTGGCGCAGCAAACGGGTTGCTTGTTTGCTGCAGGCAAAAGGCTTAGTGGAGCTGTGTGAGTCCTGGGAGACTGGGACCCCATGCGTTCGCAGCCTGGAGCGCCGGCGTTGCTTCTCAGTCTCTCTTGAAAGCGCTTCTCTTTGACCTTACTCCATATGACCCCTGACAGCAGGTTGGTTGGGTAGGTGGGCCTTGGCTGGTTGCTCGAGACCGAAGGACATTCACAAGGCCACGATCTCTGGCAGGAGCACTCAGCGCTGGTGCTGAGTTGGTGGGATTGCGTTGGCTGCCACCTCCGTTGGCTGAGTGGCACGGGTTTTGCTTCACACTGTGTCCTACCTTGGACAAGATACCTCAAGACTGGAAAAGGAGGCTGCCAAGCAGGTTGGGCTGCTTCATGGAGCCGCCAGGCTGTCTGTGCAGCTGGTTCCTATTGTTTCCACCCTGTCTAGTTCCATCTGTTGGCATCGGGAAATAGTCTCGCGTCCTTCGGCGTGTGTTTGCGTCCATAATATGTGTTTTTTTGTGTCCGTCTGTCAGCCGTCTGTCTGTGTTTGTGAAACCAAAGCTTTTGCCGGCGCAGCTGACTATAGGATATTGTTTCCGGAGACGGAAACTTGCGCACCTGCATTGCGATGTTTGTGGGGGTACCTTTCGTGTGCTGTCTGTGGGAGTGTGTGTATGTGTGTGTGTGGGCGTATGACAATTTCAGTTGCAATTCATGTTTGTGCGACCGTCATTGTTCATCTGCTGCGTTGATCATACTGGCTGTGGCCGGCTGTCTAACAACATGTGCCCTTTCAGCCTCCAAGCCTGCCAAACTTACCCACAGTTTTGGGATCACCTCGGCCAGGGAAGGAGGAGCGGTTTCACTGCAAAATGGAGATTATTACCAGAGCCAGCGCCCCAGCGGTTTCAGCGGTTTGCCATTGAGTCATTGCGTAATCACTACGTAGGCTGAGCCGCAATCTGATCTAGAAGGAAGATCTCTGTTTGGAACGAGCGTGGATTCTGGGGTTTGGATGCCAGTCCCAGAACGCGCTGACAGATCCACTCATGATGTCCTTTATAAGTTGCGCGCTCTTAGTGAGGGCGTTGCATGCCAGACTTACGTCGACTGCAGTGGATGGCAAGTTCAAAGCTGTTTCATCCTTTGCTCCTTCCCCCGCGGGAATTGTGAGAATATATGGGTGTTTCTCCAAATGGTCGGGGGCAAAGCGTGCGTGGTTTCCCTCAATCTGAAGGTTTTCCTGTCCCGCCTGAAAAGGCCACCCGAAAGCACGCGGGCGCAGATCGCAACAATTCGGATGGCGCTGAGGTCCCAAGTGCAAGTTGGAGATCTCCAGATGCAGGAGTTTTGACTATGGTGCCGGCTTGCAGCTTGGGCACATTTGGTTTTGGGGTCCTTTCGGGCCTACGCACTGTGCTCTGGCGCAGGCTGGACCCGGTTAGGGTCCCCTGATGTTTGTCTCCAATCGGGAGAGTTTACTTTGCCCCCTTCAGGCAAAGGCTTCCTTGACATCTCTTGATTTGTCGTCACGTTGGCCTCCCTTGCCAAAATGCCAAGATTGAAAGGCGCTTTTCAGGCCCCAAACCCTTACTCAGGCAAGAGGAATAGGCCATCGCGTGCGTGGACGAGCTATCAACAATTTTCCCGAGCGAAGCTCTCACTTTATCTTGAGATGCAGCGTTCTGGAAAGCACTTCACTGCAATTGGCTACTGGTGAAGCACGCGTAGAGAAACTCAAAGGCTGACCCAAGCCTGGCCGAGGTTTGTCATGGGCAAGGCGAATCTGTCGCGGGTGGAATTATTTCACAACTTCGCCTGGGGCTGCTTAGCTTTGAGCCGCGATGGGGATGTCTCAAAATGCAAAGATCCCCAAGCACACTTTGGGAGGCACACGATGCCAGGGATTTGGCAGCCAAATTCCCCAATTTGCATGAACATTGATAACATTGAATGGCGTAGTGCTCCGCCTCAAGAAGCAAGCCGACCCATGGAAAAGCCTGTGAAAGGAGGCTTATGCTGGTTCACAGGCACATTCATTCCATTCGTTTGGGTTTATGTGCCGAGGTTGCTAGATTGCGCTCTGGTGCTTCTCAGGTTTGTAGTTCCATTAGCGTTGAGGGAAGCAAGCAAGAAGTCCGGGACTGACCCAAACTTCCCCACCTCGGCCATTTGCTGCTGGTATCCGGTGTGTTGCAGGACTTCTTTTTTTGTTTCTTTCAAAGCTCGCCACACCCTGTCCCAACCTAGACCTTTTGGTCTTCGGACATTTGTAGAAACCAGTGTCCGAGCGGCTGGCTTGCAAATACCAAAACTAGATTAATCTTGCAAAATACCAAATTTTGGAATCGCGCATGTAAGAGGAAGTGTTACAGCATTGGCAATTCCAAACTTAATATTGGCAGTACTGAACTCTTGCCAAAACTCAATGTAGTATTGGCAATACTGAATGTAGTATTGCAAATCTAAGATTACGTTTTGGCACTACATTCTGGCAAGCTGGTATCTGAAACGTTGAAATGGGTCCTCCAACCATATTCCTCACAGCAAATGTCCAGAGTCTCTGCAAAGCTGGCGTCAAGAGCCTACAGAGGCTGCTGGCCTAAAGAGGCGGCGCCCACATATTGGCCAATACTTAATAATAGGTTCCCAATATACTAAATTCAGTCTTCCCACACTAAGCTCGTTTGCTACAATTTGAATTTGTGAATACTTCAGGGTGGCGATTGTTGGATTTGGTTCAATTTTGAGATCTTACCGAGGGGGTGCCCAGTGACTGCCCAGTGCATGTCCCGGCCCGATTCTCTGAAAGCAAGATCTTCCAAGCCCCAAGCGCCTGTCTTCCAGGTCAATTCCCCCGGTCACTGCAACGCGTCAATGTCGCCATCGCGTCCCACGCGCGCAGGCCGAAACCGAGAGAAACTTGAGAAAGGCCTGGAATTCGCCTTAGCGCCTGGGGATGTTGGCCCTTTCCCGGCGCCGGGCCTACGTAATGACCATCTGCTTTAAAAATGAGGCCTTTTAAATTGTCTCATGCATTTACTAAGTTCAGCTGAAACCTAGAGCGATTTTGAATTTACAAGTTTACAGCCGAAAGCTGCGGATTCGGCTTCCAAATTGCCAATTTCACCCTTCAGCTATATTATAAGATAGAAAATATACCGAGTGAAAGAGATGCAAAAAGAGAATGAACAAGATAGGAAAGTTATTCCTGATCCAATAGATGACAGGTCCTTCCAGGAATGAACAAATCTGGAAATGAACAAAATGTGGAAAGGATGGGATTCTTCTTGGCGTATTTAATGCTAATAAATGCATTGGAGAAAAGGATAGTAAGAATAGCAAGAAATAGTGAAATACAATTATGGACAGAGAGTGTACATGACGATCAACGCAATGAATGCTTAGTACCAACAATATTTTCTCCATTGAAGTCTATTCCATCGGCTGCTAAGTTTGGACGGTTCGGGTAAACATTGTCACAGCTCGCAGCGATTTGGTTCCTAAACGCTTCGGCTTGTACACAATTCGGTTTGTTCGGTTCGGTTCTAAGGTTTTGGTTTCGGTTTCCGGCCTTCCTGTACTGGATTTGGGGCTGGGAATCGAAGATTGAGTATTGCAATATTAAGAGAACCAACCATCGTGCAAGCAAAGATTCTCATGACTGGCGCAGGAGCTCAATAATCAGGGATAAGCAGGTTTCGAGAGAACATTGGTTTGCATCTTATCTGCAGGACAGATTAGACGACTTTTTTTTAAAGAAATGCAGCAGTTTTAGTTTTGCTTAGACGGACTTTTATTGACCCATGTTATGTTCATGGACCTAGCCAATGCCGCTTGTGTAAAAGGCTACACTTTATCATAGCCAAAGTTCGTGAACCACAGATATAATGCATACTTTTGTGTCTTCCTTGAAAAACACATTGAGAATGTTCACCTGACCTGGGATTGCCATGAATACTCAACGGCCCCTCTCAAGGATGATGTGCATTCCAAAGTCCCGAGAGAACATGAGCCCAACACTGTTGGGTCCACAACCCGGTGTGGCCACGCAGGAAAATGTGGGGTTCGCTGCGCATTTGAGAGGGTCACACTAGGCATTTTCGATACCACCAGCCACTAAATTACATCTTCGTCTTCTCAACATAATTAGTGGATTTTTCAACATGACACGGGTGCCCTCAAAAACATGCGCCGTTTGCCAAAGCCGTCCTTGCGGTGGGCAAGCACCCTGAAAACCAAAGGCTCTGGCATGGCCATGGCGTCCCGGCAGGAAGTGGCGCCTTGGACGCAATGGGTTTGCTAGGGATGGGGGGGTTGGTCTCAAAACGGAAGAAGATGAAGCAGATGCGTGGTGTTCCAACCCTAAAGATACCTTCTAAAAGACATGGGCGGGTCTCGTCTGGAAGGAAAAGCCATACATACCAAGTATATTCACTGTCAAGGAAGAAATCTAATGAAAGGAAATCAGCGTCTAGACAGTTTCGGTTCAGCACCACTAGGTG